TTGTAAACCACCAGTTGCCATCTCGTCAGGTGGTTGTGTAGTGTGGGAGCACTGGTGATGTGACTTTCCCAGCAGCCTCTCTGAGAAAATGAAAAAATCTATTTTTCTTTGATCTCCACAGTGCTGTTATTTCTGCCTTGCTCATGTTTTTTCCTCCTCTGCAAAGCCCAACACACTAGGAAGGAGGGAGGGAGGGTGGGGAAATAAAGTGGAGGTCCTGACCCTCATCATTTACATTTACTCACACAGGCTCCCAGCTACCAGTGAGGACGAGGTATGCTGTTTATCTGAGTCAGTGTAACATAATGGTTCACCCTATGGAACTCCAATCACTCCCTGACAATGCGAAGGTCACGTACTTTGATGTTTCAGGGGCCCTAATTTTCCATCTGATTGGTAGACCACAGCTGACCTCGGCCAGCGGGGTTAACAGGGGTGAGTGCTCTCGTAGTCACAGCGGGGAATGCATGTGTGTTCGTGTATACGTGCTGCGACTATTCCTATTCCATACCAACTAGCTGCTGGGCGTAGTGACTGTAACAGTTTCCCTCTATTTTCAGCCTTTATGCTGAACCAGAACTCACGACTCCTGGCTTTAGCTCCGTAGTTAACATACAGAATTGATAGTGGTATCAAACTTCTCTTTGACAAAGGGAAGAAAGTGTATCTCCTAAAAATGTTAAACTATTTCTTTAACACTTGTGGCTGCTTGATAGACAGATGTGTCAGCTTGTCACAATTAGTCACTGAGGCAGGTGGGAGCTTTCCACCTAAGCTCTGAATAGATTTCACACAGTTGAGAATGGAGATGAGAGATTATAACCAAAAACATCTATAAATGAATCTTCAAATTAAAAGACCAATTGGAATATTGAATTAAGTAAATAAGTAAGTAAATGTACTTTTGACTCGAAACAGTTTTCTGATATGCAAAGATTCAGCATGTTATGGAATATATTAATAATAATATTAAGGAATATTAAAAATGCAAAAAGTGTCTGTATTTGTCTCCATGTTGAATACACACTGTATAAAATTCATTATAGGTTCAGTTAAACTAAAACTAACCTTTTCACTGATGAAATAGTTGTTTCTGGAAAGAGAGGTTGCATTCATTTCGACATGCAACAAAGGTCGCCAGCTGGAACTGGCATTGCAATTACAAGGTTGACCTCTAGGTCAAGGGGACGCCACCACTGTTGAATTTTTAAAATGTAACTTTCAATGCTGCAAGTACAGACAAACATTATATTGGAGTGAAAGCATAAATCTCAGAGATGGATACCTCCTGTCTATAGTCTACACAGATACAACAGTTTTCTTTGTAATTTGGGTGAACTCACCTCTTTCTTCCCATTTATCCAAACAAAAGTCAAATCCATATTACATAACACTGGCACATTTTTTCTACAGTTTGAACCCTTTTTCATACTCGTAGGAAGGCTGTCAGTGGGACGCCCCCAACACACACATGCACACACAAACGCACACCAGCTGTCAAAACATCCGGGTGTTACCTGCCTGCTGTTAAGCATCATCTGTGTAAACAGTATTTAGAGGACAAGTGAACACACACATGCATGTACAAAATGTACTCACATTCAAGTATACAAAAATTTTAACACAGAAAGACATTGTCTCTGTTGTCCAAAAGTCTATCAGGGCTGCCAAGTGTCAAAATTAAAGAGGAGTAGTTGTCATGTATATATACTCAAATGCATTTAAATCTGCAACATGTATTGGAATTTTTTTTAGAAAAGCTGCCTTGAAATCAGGCATTTTAGGCCACAACAATCCCCAAAAAGCCTGCACAATCCCATGGAAAGGAGTTTGTTGTGACAAACCCAACCCAATAATTATCTAGCATCTTTCAGCACATTGTTTTGATCTTACCGACAGCAACTGATTTACTGTTTTGGTTGAGTCTCACCATTCTCATCGTGGTGTCCAGCCTCAGCAGAAAGTTATTTTCAGATACAAATTTCAGATAAACCCGCTGTACACAACCTGCTCAGCACAATACAACAGACAGACACAGAGAGCATTTAGCAGCTCAAGAGCCAGATATTTTTCCTCAGGAGCTGGCGGATCCGTAAAGAGAGCTTAAAGGAGAGTAAATATTGTACAGAAACCCAACTCCAAAAGTGTGCTAATATTGCCCCGTATCTGCTGGATGTATAAATTATTGTTAATAACATTATCGAGCATGTTGAGCGTAACACTTGTTGTGCTGCGCCCCCTTGTGGCCAAAAATCTATTAATGAAGCTTTAAGTAACTATGTATGTTTAAAAATATGTAAACAGACAGAAAGTGGGTCGGGTCAGGGCAAAAGAGTTCTGCTAACATGTAACATATCTGGTTTAATATACAGAAATATGAATGTATATCTTTTGTACATATGTAAGACAAGGCATATTTTAATGACTGCCATTACAAACAGCAGCAAAGAGACATGGCTCACTTCAGTTGAATAGATCAGTTAATAGTTTGACATATGTAAAGCCAGGATTAAGTTGGTGGTGTCGCAATTTCAACAGCTTCAACTCACTGACCAAACACGAGGGAAGCACCTGAAAGAAGTCACGGGCTCTTCATGACAGAATGAAAGAAGACCCGGTGAGAGAAAGAGGAGAAATTAAAGGGTTAAAGGGATTAAGAGATGTGCCTTTGTGTGTGTGTCCATCTGACCTGACTGCTCACTTATTTCTGCAGACTTGATCTCCTTTCTAACTTTATATAGAGACTCAGCATGAGTTCCCCCC